TTCAGCAGGATTATTAATCAAAACCCTGGTTTAGCAAGAGCATAAAAAGATGTTTCAGTGATGAGTGGTTTTGGCCTTTCTGCAGTAAATGGATGTAGCATGAAACTTCCATATCCATTTTTCACTCATCAAGGCAAAGTTAGCTCAAAGACAAAACAGATATTAACATGAAAGGAAAAAAAAAAAAAAAAAAAGGCATTTTTCAGTAGTCTCAAAACCCCCACATGGTTCTTTCAGGACTTGCTCTAAAATTTAGACTAAGAAATTCTGAATCCTGTAGCCAAGTAAACTCCAGCTTCTCCAAGTTTTAATCTTTTTTGACATCTCAGTGTAATGTATCACAGACAATTTTGTCTCTGTGCACATAAGGGAGATCTCAGAACCCCAAGACCTGTAACTTTGTGCAATGGCCAGGAGACCAAGCCAGCTCTGAGCAATTCTGCTCAACAGATTGAAAGCAATTAGATATAGCTGCATTAGCATGCTGCTTCAGACAGATAAACACACCCAGCTTCCCAAAAGAATTGATCAGCATGAACTGAATGCCAAGCAGCTAATAGTGCATCTAGATTTAAATAAACTTCTAATTTTAAATAAATGTACAATTTACAGTATGGTTCCACAAGGAAAAAAGGAAAGGGCACAAAGGTGGTAATACATTAGTTCCATATGCCTTCTTTAAACTTACTATCTTAACATGACAAAGAAATTACCTCCAATATGGTACCTGATATAATGTGTTTCAAATATGACTAATATTAATGCAATCATATTTTTCAAAGAGCTTTTATTTGTCTGCTTCCTTTCTTGAATTTACATAACATACACAGCACATAGTTTTTATGTTGGTGTATTATTCAGACACAAGTCCAAATACAAAATTCAGTGATGCTTTTTGCTTTGAATATGAGAGGTTAGCTTCTCACTCACGTGAAAAGCCTAAAGACTTACCAGAACACCTCTATACCATATGACTTCTGGAAGCAGAGTATCAAACCCGACTTCAGATATACATAATTTCATAGTACAGAAAATATATATTACTTTTACAAGAAAGTTTTAAAAGAGTTCCTTCCAAAAAGTTAATGTCCTCATAAGCCTCTATCAACTTCCCAAGATCAACTGCAGTCAGATCACTACGGCTACCTGCGCCTTCTGGACGTAAGACCATTTTACGAGAGCACCATCATGACAGTAAAACTGTCAATCAATCATTTAGCTGTCATAAATATACTTATTTCTTAACCAAAAATACAGGAATCTCACATTTCTCAATTACAATTTTTCAACTTGAAGTATATATAAGCATATAAAGCCATACAGGACCTTCTAGCACAGAAAATCCCCAAAGCCCTTACTGTCCATTGGAAGCCAAGTCAAACCACATGTTCTCACAAAACTTATTATTCTTGACACACACACACACAAGTTTAGCTTGGCAACAACTGTGGTAATAAAAAAAGGGGAGGGGGAAAACACAAACCAGTTTAAAAGATGTGTAAAACCTGTCTAAAGTAGGCCCTTCTACACCACATCTGTCCAATGACCAGATACCACATACATCCTCAGAGAAAGAAATGTACAGCGTTTCAAAGGAATTGTTCAGCATTGCAAACAATAGCACTCAGGTGCTCTGCCTCATTTTTGTTAAATCTCAAGTTTTAACAATTACAATAATTTCTCATCTGGATTTAAAAAACCCAAGATATACAACATTGAAAGTTCACAGGTTAGTTTTCAAGTTCTTTTCCCAATCATGACATGTATAGTCAAACAGACTTTTGAGGCACCGCTGAAAAATCCAAGCAGGAACTGATTGTCTTGCATATAACCATAAACATTCAATAAATGGTCAGTCTATTCCGAGTTCAAAATTTCTACGCTCCCATGAAAGGGAAGAGTAATTATTTTCTTTTCTGTATTCTCTAAATGTTAGTATACCATCTATGTTAACTTACAGAACTTGGCACTAGAACTGCCTCTTTCAGAGCCATACAGTCGTCACATGCACTGTAACCTACAGTCAAACATGATTTCCAACTATGCTGGAAATTTTCTACTACTCTACATCTGACTTCTCTATTAAAAATAAAAATAGGCTGGATTAAAAAGCCTATCTTCTCACACAGCTTGAAAAACAAGTATCAAAAGGAAAAAACAGCAAAAATAGAAGAAATAAACATTGTGCTAGTTATGAAGCTCTGACACCTGGCAGCTGAAGAACATTTAAAAAATTCCTATATACAAATTTTATATACACACACAAGGATTAAGAAATGGATATCTGGGTTTGCATGTCTTTTCACCACCTCTGCATCTAGCTGCTGCTCATGCAAATGCATTTTAAAATGTATTATTGTGCAATAATAATCTTTTCTGTTTGGTCTGGCAACAGAATTGGGCCAAAACTTTCACCTCTATGTAACTAAAAGCATACACACTTCAGTTAAAAGTTAGGCCTTAGTTTCTTGGATAAAACATAGCATATTTAGAAGTTCGAAATCCAAGCAGGTCTCTCATTTCATTTCGGAATTTTGACAAGTCTTGCCGCAGTTCATTCAGGTTTTCCACAGTTGCCTGATCTGTGCTTTGCATCTTCTGTCTCATGGAAGTCAAGTAACGGTGGACTAAACAACACATCACCTTTTGATAATTCTCATCTCTCTTTTGCTTCAGATTTCTCCATTCCTTTAAAGAAACATTACATATTTACAACGGAACAGTGATCTTTGAGCACTAAAGCCTTGTATACAATTATAAAGAGAATAAATAAGAACAAAATAACAATGATACTTTATAGATACATCCTGATGAGCACAAATTTACAATGCATGTAAATTGCCAGCAAAATTAAATTCTAAACTGCTGTACCAACAAAACTGAAAGTTTTTCATCTACCTAGCTTGGTAATTGTCCTATGAGTAATTGAGAGTGCCATAATCCTGAATGTTTTCAGTGTACATTCCATAAAGGATTCAAAATGTAGTTTTTTAAATGCTACTTTTGTAAGCAAGAAGATGCAAGACTAGTATGCAAGATTACAGGGTACAAGTAAAAACATCTATTTTAAAAAGACCTAAAAAATCCCTCCCCCCCAGCAATGAGAGGCTTCTCAGTTACTTATTTTGACACTTCTGTATGTTTAATACCAATTACCTTCCCCATAGAATGCTCTTACCTCATCATTTTTTAGATTACCACATATTTCCTTGAGGTTTCTATGAATTTTCAATCAAAGCATTTTTTCCAGACTATTTCTGGGGGAATTGCGAGTTGGAGGGAAGGGGACTGAAACTCCACAAACTGAAAATTAATAGAATCTTACTTAAGTAGAAATAAGTAACATTTATATTTGGATGCAACATAGAATCACAGAATCATAGAGTGGTTTGAGTTGGAAGGGACCTTATAGATCATCTAGTGCTAGCCCATGTGCAAGGGCACCATTATTTCTATTTATCTTCGTAGCACTCACTGTGTGACAAGCAGCTTCATGCTACAATTTGCTGATTCATTTTCAAGCAGCACCTTTCCAGCTTGAGAGCCTGCAGCTTTCCCAATCATTTCTTACCTTCAGGCTGTTCTGACGTTTTACTTTGCCACTTGATGTATGAGAGCAGATCCATTTACTGAGACTGTTGAAAAGATAACAGATGGTCTTGGGGGAGGGAATAACATTGAAAGGTGGAGGTAGTGTGCATTTGTCATCAAAGTAGCTAAGCCAAAGCTTGGCACGAGCAAACTTCCATTCCTTATCTTCATGATTCTAAAGCATCAGAAACATGAACAGGGATCAGAATAAAAAATAGTAACAAGCTATTGTGTAAGTTTTGTTTTTTAATACCTTAAAAACTGACTTTTAATTTTGTTGTATTTTAATATATAGATTATATGCTATTTTAATAAGCTTACTGTACTAATTTTTAATACTTAAAAAAACAAAACTTATCTCTTCAATTCACTATATATACTTCAGTGTAAATACAAAATTCAGTTATGAAGGAATAAACCCCTTAATCAAACACCCAAACACCACACTGTATCAGAAATGGCATCTAGGCTTGAACAGCCATTGTATCAAGGAAGTCTTTAACTCCCAGAGGCCCAAAGCCTTGCACATGTTCAACATGCAAGTGCCCATTTTATTTGGATTAAAGTAAATAAAAAGTTCCGATTTGAAGGAAAGATGTCCCTTGTGACCTCAGAGACAGAGTTCATCCATTAAGGTCTTTGGACGAGTCTACACACTGTAGGAAGACGTTTGTATAAAATGCAAAGATACAGTTAGCAATTATTGGTAATTAACCAGAAACCACTTACTGCTATCAGCTGAAAGCTTTTATGAAGCATTGCCACAAGGAGTTTAGTTAATACTATGACAACCACCACATTGTAGGTACCAACAATAACAGCACCCACAAAAGACTGTAATTCTTCACCATAGCTAAAACGTGTGACGAAGATTGCAACGTGCGCCAGGGAGAAGATATACCAGAAGAGAGCAAAACATGTGCCAATAAACCTACAAAAACAATAATGAAAAACAAACTCTGGTTAGGTAAAGTAAGCACCAAAGGCGAGTTTACTTAATACAAATTCAAGTGCAGCAAAAAATTCAAATTTTGTTTAATTACTAGGAGTTAGTTAAGGGCTAGAACAATGTGATCATTTATAGATATCAAACTCACGAATGGAAGGTGTCGTTGCTCTGTTGTTCACAGAAAATTCCTGCACAGTCCTTTTCTTCATTTAAAGTAAATCCTTTATCATAAAGTTGTGTCAATCCAATTGTGAATGAGAACAAGACAAGAAGAAACATGCCCAGAAACTTTCCAAAATCTTGTAGCATCTGGCCCATTGAAATCTGTGAAATAGATTTATGTAGGATTTTAGTCAAATACGTAGTTATTTTTGGTTTTATTCTCTTCTTTAGCTTCTGATCAAGGAAAAAAAAACCCAAACTATTTCCATTTTAAGCGCTTAATTTAAGATGCCAAACAGACCTCAAAATCAGGAGGTACTCTTGTGCTATTTTTCAGTGAAAAATTCTGCATGTTAAAAGAGAATTTGAGCATTTTTAACATCATCTGATAAATTAACATATTTTAATTAACTATAAGCAACAGTATGTACAACTTTTTCTTTATTTGTAATATCAATGGCAATAAGGAACAAACAAGTCAATAGGTAAAAGCAGTAAATAAAATGCATTTGAATATAAACACCATAATAGAAAATTAAGATAACACTTAATAAGGACACTGAATGTTTTAGGTAAGATTTTAAATATAAACAATGTGTAGGTGTGCCAGCACATAAAAACTGGAGTGTAAAGTACAGAAGACATGACACTAAATTCAGAGTATTAATTTTGATTTCAAAATACCCTATACAGAAGCTTGCAACAGTACAGATACAGCATCCTTTAAAAAAATAATAATGCTTGTGCACTTTTCCAATGCAGGGAAGACCTTGACTTACTTTTGTCATAAGCATTTTTACACAGACACAGCATCAGCCATTTACAACATTTGAATTACTCTTCATACAAACTTCTTCAGAGAACAGTATACAATTACAAAGAATGCAAATATATAAAATGGGGTCAGGAAAATCTAATCCTCTCTATATATAAGCATGTGGAAAGCCTAATCCTATATGGATCACATAGTCCAGAATTATATCACTGGTCAGGTTTTGCACGTACAAGTTTACTGTAAGCTACAGTGCCAGCTCATGCTCCTTCCTATGCTGCTGGAGACTGAGTACCCCTCTTGCACAGCAAACTGAATCTTTGCACAGTTTGCAACAGTTATGGAGAATCTGCAACTGCAGGCAGAGCCATGCAGTGATTATATCATCTGGTCAGAGGATGAATGTAATCCCCATCACACTGTTTCATCACATCTGTATTTTAAAGAAAAAAATCCCCAACAACAAAAACATCTACCCTTTAACTGACATGTGGTTACAGGCAGGAGAGACAAAGCAGATTAAACAGGAATGTATAAAACATGCAAACCACAACTCTATTTTGTTTGTAATAGAGTGTAACAACAGCCCCTTCATATAGTCATGCTGTTCCTTTCTAAGTATTTAGAATTTCTAAGCATTTGAAATCAAATAATCTAATCTAGCAGAATACTATTCTGTTAGTAATAAAAAACCACCACACACAGCCAACTTACAAATCTGAATTAAAATAGATTTTATTAATCAGTAAGTTAAGTAACTGAATGCTTAAAAATAACTAACAGCCCAGAGAACACAGTAGCCACCTTTCCCCCGACACAGTTGGGTTTCCATGCCATATTTGATTACCACCATTTGAACTTTGTGACCTACTTTCAGAAAATACTGTTAGAGTTGTTGCACAAGCTGTACTGGCCAACAGAAATAACATAAGCTTCAGTGTGCCACTGAATGGAGTGACTGTTGACTGTTTTTATTTACTTGGAAAATTTCATAACTTGGCCTCCCAATAAAAAACCTGTGAAAGTTCTAGTACATAAATAAATATGCATATTAAACAGCAAATATCTTTAAATTGTGGAGAAACTTCAGTGTTCAACCAATTTGTATAACAAGCCTAACACTTACTGCAACATCAAGACTTCAGTATTTTTTCAAAGTATGCAAGTACATTTCCATTTTAATATAAAAGAAAAAAAAATAAAAATAATTAACAGCAACATAGTCACAGACAGAGAGAAAAAGGAAAGAAGTAAAACTAACTTAATGCTGAGAAGAGAAACGGGCATCTTCCAATAATATTATAACTGGTTACAAGAAATACGAACATTATTTTTAAAGCACTTTTTATGATGATTTGTAAAAGACCCTTTGAACAGATTTTTTTAAAAAGACAGTATAGTTGGTTATAATGGAAAAAATATTACAAGAAAGTGAACTATACTAGGTCTTCCATTATTTTTCTTTCCTTTTTCATCTAAACTGGTATGTTTTACGTGAGAGATTTTAAAAAACCACAAAACTTCAATGCAATATCACTTGTTTTTACTTTTTACTTTCTGACTTTATTTATTTTCCTTTTCAAAAAACCTCTTCATAAGAAATTAAGATCAAGTTTAGTATTTTCTCAAGGAGTAATGATATTCACCTGGAGTGGTCCCAGAATAGAGCTGGTTGTGTACATGAAGAAGAGACGCAGATAACTAAGAACGTTAGCAAAAGCAAAAAGACCTTCTGCCACTAGGGTAGGATGGAACGCATCCCAGTCCTTCCTTTCAGCATAATCATGAAACTGGAAAATAAAAAGAACAAACTGACACCATTGACATTGTAAATACAGAAATGCAGCCATGAACCACCCCCTACTCTGCCTCCAACAGGCAATTGCAGAAAAGAAATTAATATACAGGATTCATAAGCGGTTTTTCAGACAAAGGTAATTTTTAAAAGCCATTCTAGAGGGAGCCAGGAATCAGACTATGTAAATTCAGCACCTAACTCTGCCACTCACTTCCTTGGTGAACCATTTATTCACACATTCTGCTTTCCTTTCTATTCTGTTTTGCACAGATGATTTTAAACAGGGACCCATGCACTTTATAAACACGTGCATTGTCTAGTGTAATAGCCCTCAGTCAAAACCAACATGAACATGCTGCAGAGATAACTAATGTACACATGCAACTGCAGTGTGCTCATAGCTCATCTTAACCAGTTTTAGGACGATTTAGGAAGACCTAGGACCCAGAGTTCCTTCAATGGATTTTAGGAGTGATTACAGAGAAAGGAAGCCACAAGTGAACTGCTGGTGTAAACACACCCTTAAATTGTATCCACTAGGTACTATTAAACTATTCATTGAATATCCGCAGATCCCCAACTTTCAGCTTCGCTGAAAACATTTAGCATTTATATTAGCAGCTTCTGCTATCTCAGAACGCACATTCAAAAACCTAAGGCAATAAAAGCTGCTTTAAAAAAACTTGCCCAAAACTGAGCTGCACAAAGACAGCCAACAAACAGGGATAAACATTTTGATACCTTGCAATTGTATGTGTACAAATCCTTCCACTACAGAGACTCATACTTTATTTCTTAGCATCTTCAGTGCCAATAATATGGACCTAAGACATAACTAAGCATTTTAATTTGGCTATCTAAATATTTATGAACTACAAACTTTGCCAGACAGAAGTGATAAAAAAACCATCCTGTTACACAGGACGGGAGTCCTGCAGCTTCCACAAGGTTACAACTTAAACTACCAGCAAAGAGCTCTTATATCTTAGCAAAGGAACTACTACAGAAATGGCTGGTTGCAAAACAAATGGTTGGGAAGGCAGCCCAGCATGGGTTTCTCTATTTTTTCCAAGAAACAGAGCTTCCCTTTCCAAATGATTAGCAGCCCCTGAATCAATGCACAGATAGGGAAGTGAGCCAAACACCAAGTCAGGAGAAACTGAACCAGTTTATTTCCCTCTCAACTGCCAGACAGCTGTCAGCTCACACTTTGCAATACAAAACAATGGTGCTACTACACTGGCTTGAATTTTGCTAAAATATTCATATTCAATTAGTCTGGCAGCTTGCCATATGCTGTGTAGCTAACAAAACATGCAACAGAATGTGGATAATCAGTCTAAAAAACTTATATCCTCAACCAAATCCAGGTGGCTTTTCATAGAGAACAGACAAAGCTCCTCTATGGTCTTGGGGCTTTTTTCCTTATAAAAAAAACCCAAACCCAACAACAAACACCCCACAAATGAAAAAGAGCAAACCGCACCAAACCAACAACAATTAAAAGAACCCAACAACCACTCTGAATATCTGAGCATATGTAATCAAAAGCTAAATAAAACTTTCTGTAACAAAAAAGTATTAGGCAATCTAAACACAGAGATTTAATGTTAGCTTTCTGCATAGTACAAATGTCAAATCAGAGGAGTTCTATGGGGAGATTTCTCAAAATGAAAATCAAGCCATTCAAAAGACCAGACAGTTCTTACAAGGAAGACAGTAGCTCTGTTTGGGGTCCCTGACTACTTGAACATGTTTTGATGCATTTTCTAACTCCCATTTGCCTCATCAACTCTTATAAGCTCAAGATGCAACAAGACCAGAGATCCTGGCAACTACACAGCCTATACCTATACCATACAGAATACTTAACTCAGAAACCTAGACTGCATCCACACAGTAGGCTGTTACTAATGTAATACACTTAACTACAACATCCTATTACTAACGTACCACATGCAACATATCTTCACATATTTTGCAGCAATGTACTGCTTTTGTATTTGCAGTCAGTCCGAGCAGAGCTTTGGATCTATGAAGTTGGGTGCTTACCTTGTTATGGGCAACTACTTTGAGAGCAAAAGTAGCCAAATACAGGGAATTCATGACAAAACTAAGCTGGTTACGGGATTCTTCTAAAAAGTCTTCTAAACCATCATACCAGAGTCTTTTAACATCTGACCAAACCATTCCTGCAGGAAAAAAATGAAAAAGCCAGGGAAGTCACACCATTACACTGAATAGATACTCTTTTACAACTACAGCACTTTCAACTGTCTTTTTGTAAATTAGATTTTACCAAAGAGAAAGAAGTAACCGAGTATATTTACTACAAGGGTTGCTTTGGATTTCAAGCATCCATCATAAGGCAACAAGATTTTTAGCCTTTTCAAGCCTACTTTCCAACTAAGACATTGTCCAATGAGAAGAAATTAATAGGAGAAAAATCGGACAGGAGAAAGTCAAATTTCAATAAAGGTAGAAGACTAGAAGACAAAAGCTTTTTCTGAAAAGTATTCACCTTTTTCCAAAAGCACTACAGAAAGCACGACTTGGCTATATGAAGCATACTGTATGTTTTGAAAGGTGTAGGTATTACAAAATGTTTTTAAGTATAAACAGTTCAGTAAAGCAGAAACTTTTCCTACTCTGATATTAAGTAATACAGGACAGAAAAGAGACCATGACTTAAGATTGCAAAAATCAGAAGGTTAACTTAGAGCAACATGGATTTAAATATTCAGGGTCTTTACAGTAAACTGCATTTTACCATTGTCAATTATGTCTGGCTATACAGGAAAATACAATGGCTAAAAATTTTACTAACCGAATGTCTGTTACAGCCTTGATATTTTTATAAAACTTGAAAGTATCATTAGATGAAATATAATGGCACCTTTGATTTCTATAAACATTCAGTTATTTAATATTTTTTCAGTACTTCTGATGTATGCTACTATATTTGGGACAAGAAGGAGAGCAGCATGTGTATAAATGGTAGTTAAAAACTGTTAAACTTAGTTCAGCTTTTAGGACTTTGCAACTTCTCTAAAACTTTGACCTAGTAAGAGCAAGACCCAGTGAACAGGTTAAAAAGTAATCAGATACTTATGTTCAGTCAGCTTTATAGCAACATTGGAAGGCATAATTAAAAAAAAAGTGTGCTATGTGCAGCTCATGAAAGGACATAAATCTCTCTCTGGTTATAAAGAAAGTATTTCTAAATCAGAACCTCTGTGCCCCTTCATATGTATTTTATACTATTTTTTTTACTGAATCAGCAAAAGGAGCTGGAGAAGTAGAAGATGCTATAATTTGTTACTTACACAAAACAATTTAAATTCTGTTGCTTTATTTTCCTGTATTACTTGTATTATTTAGGCTCAATAACTCAGAAAATGAGAATTACTATATTCATTATTTTGAAAATCAATCTAGCAGAACACAAAACTTTAAGTGTTAGAAATTCTGCTGAGGTCATTTTGACATTGATTTTTAGAAAGCACTTTAATAAGACTACTGAACAAAGTAACAGGTCATTCCAGTTGATTTCGTAATACATTTTCTAAATACATTCTTTTGCGACTTACTGAATATTTGTAAGGAACCAGTACAATGTGTGACTTAAAAATATGTATTTAATCTACAGATGTAATTACTATTTTAAAAAAATCTGAAGATTGAATAATGTGAAAAATAACCTGATTTTAATGACTTGTGTTACTTACAGGTAATTTTTCAATCCTATCTGAAATCCACATATTAAAATACTACATGAAAAAAATAATGTTTCTACAGTCTTTTCAGTAAAATTTCCAAGACCACCTAATGACACACTTCCTGCCTGCATTAGACTTGATGGAAAAAAAAAGAATTTCTAAAATCAGGTACTGAATCTCAAAAAAAAAGGAGGGTCTGTAACACTGATTTGTACACTACCTTTGAAGCTTTCAAGTTTATTTCAAGAACTGCATGAGTCTGAGTGTGGGGTACTGGGTATTTCCAAAACCTCCATAACCTACTCAGTCTTAATAGAGCTAAACTATGAAAGGAATCACTATTACAAAAAACCTCACCCTAAAATAACAAATAAGCCACCCACAATTTGTTAGATAAAAACTGTTTTCGACTGTATCACTACGTTTTACCAATCCAGCCAACCAAGCAATACAGAGCTAATTGCCTTACATTAATAGATAAGTTTCCATGTAAAATTTAAAACCAAACACACACAAACTAAAAACATGTTAAAAGGTGTTAACAAAACAAAAGTATACGAGTACTCAACAAAAATTATACCTGTGCTCCCTCTACTGCTTCAACCAGAATTAGCATGCACCCAGTCAGGCACAGTTACAATAATTTCCAGATATGGAAAGTTATAATATGGCAAAATAACACTTGTGTTTTAAAACTAGGATGAGATGAACCCACACCTTCACTATTAGACTGAGATGGAGCATGCATGCATACATATGCACACATAAACATACATAACACTTTAACATGACAACACTGCAACAAGGCCAAATTACATTATTACTTCTCAAATCAAGCATCACAGAATTGGTCATGACAGACTGACTTGTTATGTACTGTTGATGTACTACTAAACTTGTATATATGCAAAGTTTTCTCCCTGAGCTGAGCAGAACTGCTATAAAAATTGCATATTGGCAACTATGAAAGATTTTGCAGAACCCTACATTTTTTAAACTGTTTTTAAGTTGGATTAATCTAACCAAAATTTATAGGATCCTCATGTTCTATCTAGCTGGAACACATTAAACTAGAAATGAAAACAGTGCAGGAATTGATCATATGACTGTAACTGCCTGTTTACTCCAAGTATTGACAAAACTTGCATACAATGCAAAAATACTTTTAAATCTACTTTATGATTACATGAAGATCTTATCTAGATTTTCAAAGAAACAGTAACTTCACTAGCATTATTCAGATTCTAGCATAATTCCATACAGGGGCACACAAGTAATTCAGAGGCTCAGATCATTCCTG